CATCCGACTCATGGATGCCCTGACTCGGCTGAATACCGTATTCAGCCGCTCCGTCGCCTCCATGGCTTCGGCTAGGACAATCTCGGTGTTGTCCTTCAGAGTTATGAACTCTGAGTACTCCTGACGGAGTACTATGACTTCACTAGACTTAATAATGAAGTCTTCGTCCATATCTCCTCCAGTAGGAGATACTTGTCCAGACTCGCTACACGATTCTGATCGGCGGGTTATTCCCTGCGGGGAATATCACCCCTGAGTGGCTGTAATAGAAGCCACCCTCGGTGGGGTATGACTGCCCCGGTGGGCAGTCCCTGACACACCAGCCAATCGGCTGGGGCTCAGACCCTGAGTGGCGATGCGGGGACGCATGCCTACTCTGCTAGGTGACTGCTCCCTGCTGGGTGCAGTCTGTGATCCATGTGCAGTCGCATGTGGATCTTCCGGCTGCTCCGAAGGGAGCAGTCGCGGGCTCTGTTGGGGGTCAACAGAGGGGAACGGGGAATTCGTCAAATCCCCCGTAGTGAGCCCCGTAGTGGGCTCGCTGTCTTCAACATCCACCGTGGACAGCTCTTCTGCCCGCACTCTTCGGTGACCGCGATTGTGACTCCTCACAGTCGGTGTATTTATTTGTAGAACTACAAATAAATGACGGTTTTGACTTCTAGTTCAAATCCATGGTACTGCCGTGCTGTCTGGCACGTTGAATACCAGATACAAATCACACAACGGGTTGTGTGATAAATATCAGAACTTTTGGTTTTTAGATAGTTCTAACCCATGGTACTTCCGTGCAATTAATTACCTGTTGAATACCAAGTACTACCGTACAACTTATTGTTGTCCGTTGAATACCGAACTTTCGGGAGAAAGTTAAAAAAGATATAACGGTTGGTATATCTTACTGTTCACACAACGACTAACTGAACTCTTTATATTAGGAGTAGGTAGTACAAGTGTGTGGTAAAAAGATATATATGCTGGCCCCTAATGCACCGGCATGCTAAATACAGGCTGTTGTGGACACATATGGTGTCCACACTAAATATAGCTACATCTATGATGTAACGCATATAACTAATATACATTAGTTATTAGACATGTAGTATATTACAAGTATATACATATATATATATAACAGCTTATAGCCATTACAGCAACCGAATGGCAGGGAAAACCTTTGATGTACGTTCGAATGCCAGCCTAGACGCCCAGTTGGGAGTATTCCCAATAAAACTCTTGGCTAAATTAATTCCTCCGCTATCAAGATGCCAAACGACCTGGAATCAGTTTAACTATGGAAATAAAATGAGCAAGAAACCTACCATTGCTACGGTCACTGAAAATTACGTCGTCGGATATCACTTTGATCCACTGCCAGGTCGCTTTGGTCAACGGCGAGATCACTATCGTGGATGGCAATCTCGCTGTGCACAAAGGCTCTGTCGCTGTGCCCAAGGCTGTCGCTGTGTATAAGGGCTCTGTCGCTGTGCACAAGGCTGTCATCGTGTATAAGGGCTCTGTCGTCGTGTATAAGGGCTCTGTCGTTGTGCACAAGGCTGTCATTGTGCACAAGGGCTCTGTCGTTGTGCACAAGGGTGTCACTGTGCACAAGGGCGAGGTCACTACCGTGGTGGCAAGGTCACTCTGCGCAACGGCTATATATCGAGTCAGCCTAGAATATTTTTTAAAATGAGTCTAAAGAACACTTACCTAATGCTCCGAGATTGAGCTTCTCCTCTTTGGAGTCTAAGGCAGCGGAAAACGCGATCCCGGTCAGTTGGCTTCAAACAAAATAAGAAGAAAACCTACCACTGCGAGTGGAGTCCCTGAGGAAGATGTCGCTTTGGTGAACAGCGAGGTCACTTTGATGGACAGCGCTATCACTCTCGTGGACGGCGAGGTCACTCTCATGAACGGCCCTGTCACTATGTGCAACAGCTGCTACATCACTCTGGACGACAGCGAGATCACTATCAGAGTTTGTGCAAAAAGCCACAGCGCCACCTGTGGCTCCACCGTGGCTAATCCAGCCCTCCTATTGGTCAGTTTGAGCCACAGGTGGCGCTGTGGCTTTTGCACAAACTCTCTATCATGGGTGGCGAGGTCACTTTGGTGGACGGCTCTGTCACTATGCGCAAGAGCTGAAGGTCGAGTTAGAATAAGACAAATGAGACATCTTGGGGTCTAGCTCACCTAATGCTCCGAGCTTGAGCGTCTCAGAAGTCTCATTAGCGTCTAAGGTGGCATAAATCACGACTCTGATCAGGTATACTTGAAATAAAATAATAACTTAAGAAACCTACCATTGCTGCGATGATCACCATCGGAAAAGTCTCTTGTGTGAATATCACTATCGGCGATGGCAAGGTCACTATCGTGGATGGCAAGGTCAGTTTCGTCGACGGTTCTGTCACTATGCGCAACAGCTGAAGATCAAATTAGCTTTCTAAAAAATGAAAAATCTTAGAGTCTGGCTCACCTAGTGCTCCGAGCTTGAGTCTATCAGAAGCCTCGAAATTTTTATTTGGCTTTGAAGTAGCAGAAAGCAATCCTAGATTAATTTCGTCACTGAAAGAAAATAAATACTAGTACCATCAGTGGAAAAATCCCTTCGGTGGATGTCACTATTGTGGACAGCTATGTATCCAATAAGAGTATGGAAAAAAATATAGAAAATAATATACCTAGGTCTCCGACGCTTGTCTCAGCAAATGGCTTGAGCCCTTCTTCACGAAGTCGGGTACGAGGGCTGACGGTGGGTGCAGTGATCGTGGAGAGCACAAGGGAAAGGGCGATGACTATAAATGCGCGAAGTGTAATAGCCATATTTGAATGGAATATAGAATGAAAGCTGTAGACGATGTGGAAGGTGTGTCTGTATGCTGCTGAGTACGTGAAACTGGTAGCCCTTTTATATCAAGCCTGGGCTAAAAAATTTTAGTGAATGTGAAAAATTCTCTGACTTTACTGACAGCTAAATTGGAAGAACAATTCCTCATTACCCATTTCAGTGAAGCAGATACTGACGGTCTATACTGAGCAATAAGAACTTTCCCCTGATGCAGAGAATCAATTTGTCCCATTAATAGAGTGTATTCGAAAGCACTTCTGTGGGTCATTATTAGGCACATCATTTCAGCCATTCAGTAGGCTTTGAACCTTCCCAAGAATTATCACCGTTGAATATACTTTAATATAGACAGATGTAGATCACCCATTAAGCCAAGATAATTACAATTGTTTGTGACGATATTCGAACCAGATATGAAACAGTAAAATCAGCCGAAAATTTTGCTGAATATAATCCGAGGATATATTCTGACATAACTGCGCAGGAACAGTGGCCACTGAGCCCCGTTAAGTCCGAGAGAGGCGTAATCCCACACCGTACAGTGACGACAGATGCGCGTGTTTGGTGGTATAAATAAATATTTCACGCTCGTGTACGCAGCCAATTCGACCACAAATCTGTATCGTATTGGCCTAAGTCAGGATATAAACTCATGGTGAAAGGAGTAAATCACTGCAATTTTGATGTACAAAAAGGGGACGTTTGGCTAGCCTGGGTATCGACTCTTCGGACCTTAATTGCCCTCCTAGAAAGTAAAGGATTACTTAATAAGAACCGTCAAACTTAGTAACAAACGTCCTGATCCCTTATTCATAATTATAAAAATTAATTATTAGATGAATACCTGACCAAAAACTCTAGCCCCACGCAGGGGTCGAGCCCCTAACCCCGAAATAATTACTGTTTTAAATTGAGTGCATAAGTGCCTCATAAGTACCTATGTCATAAAGTTCTCATACTCTACCGATTAAGTTAGCAGGGCCTCATGTCCGTCTATATGACATTGGAACTTCCTCCGTACAAGGATAATTAAGAGCTTGAGAAGAACGACAAAGCAATACCAAGAAGTGCGAGAATCATTAAGCGGGTCGAAAAGGACGAGGGTAGACCGCGTGGAACCGTCCTTCGGGAAACATAAGTATGTCGTCATTTTTGCGTTACTTTCTTTATATCATGTTCCTGTTCTTGTGTGCAAGCCATTCAAGTAAATTCTCCGAGAGATTCAAAAGCTGTTTTGATAAAAGCAATCACAGTACAATGCCATTAGTAATGGTGTTTATGCTAGAGTATTTATCTTTTATGCTGCGCTAATACAAACTACTTGACATCTTCAGCGGTATAATTATAACTAGGTCATCATACATCTGCATCATGTGCCATGATTGAGCAGCCATTATGATATCACCAGAATAAAGGACAGACTTCGAATCCGATGGGTGCGATAAATGCTGAGATATGGTATGGCAGGATGTGGGAAGTGAAAAGATCGTGTTGCTGGGGAAGTCAGGAGGTGAGGGTATCGATTCACAATCGGCGTTTGGAGAAGATAAGCATGTACGCCTTTAATAAAGGCATTGATGCATTAATTCTTGATTTGGTTTCTTATTTCAAATCGTTCCTGAGTATTAGCTGCATGATATTCCTTCAGACCGTCACACGCTGACTGTCTGCCCTTCATAAGTTTCTATCTCTTTCCAAACTATAGGCCAATTTCCATGGAGCACTAATCTACCACATGCGTCTCATCTACTAGCATCATTATTTCACTCTCAGGCATCGGATTTTCACTCTTCCCCCTTCCAACATTCAAGCTTTAAGATTCGGGAGTAAAATATTCAAGCTACGGCCCTTAGATTCACCATTCTCATCCTCTCCACTTACGACGAGCAGCTTTCATATCATCCCCAGCACAAATGTTTTATCATCATTTTTTCTTCACTGCGTAGTGCAATTGTCCGTGATGTACCAGACTCTTACTTCGGATCTACTTCCAATTAGGATGTCAATACGTTGATACACAGGTATAAATGGTATACGATACCATACGCATTCATTCAAACTCAACGCTGTATCCCTGAGAAGCAACCAGCATCTGGCACCTAAGAAAATAAACCTAGAAATATGCATCGAAGCAAGAAAAATAACTTTTAGCCCCACGCGGGGGTCGAACCCGCAACCTTGAGATACACCTTACAATAAAGCAATTATACGTCGAGGACTTGCGTACTCTAATCATAAAAGTCTCACGCTCTACCGATTGAGCTAGCATGGCCTCAAACGGAGTAGTTTCGATTGGAGCCATCGCAATATTAACCCAATTGTTGAAACTACACGTTAGGCATGCTAACGACTTGAGGCTCGTGAGAATTCAGGAAGGTGAGCGAAACGGAAAGTCGTACATAAATAAGTAAACGCAATATTCTCAATTTCTCATATGCTCCGAAAATATGCGATTAATCAGTGGAAAGACAGGAAATATTTTGTACGATATCGAGCAGTACTTAGACTGAACCTGAATGTGCGATGATTAAATGACGAAGTAGGTCGTCCATATTCTTCGGAGAAAGAAAAAACGGTAGACAGTAGGATTTCAACTAAATATATCACAATAAAGCGCAGAATATATCTAAAAATCAATCGATCCTTGTTCCGATGGTTTGCAGGCATTGCTAGACCTATCCCCGCTGGACGCAACAGCTTGCCAGTGATTTAGGCGCATAACGAGGGTCGTCCTTTTAGTCAAGGCATTAACCGAGCTTTCAGCGACAGCAAAAAAAGTCCTTTGGTTGTTAGTGGAAGCAATTGGCACACAAATCCTGCCAAAGGTCTGATTTGGATGTGGTGGACATGGCGGGGTATCATCCGAAAATTTTCCATCCCGGTAAAGAAAGTATAAATATATCAGAGAGGTACCTAATTAGTTGCTTGATATAACTCGGTGTCAATTTAGAAGAGTTATATTGCCGGAATGAGAAAAATGTGTCACCTGCCCTGACTGAAGCTGATTGATGCACGCAGTATCACTCTAAAGGGCATCGAGCCTGAACTGATTTTTTGCTCAATCATCGGCCATAAACCGTGCGACTCCTGAAGAATATCACAATGAACTCCGTGCCTTCTTCGGAAGAACCCCGACTTCACGGAAACAGAGATGCGTACCATGCCAAGGCTGCATTCTCAAAATGAGGGGCTATTTCTGCGTACTTTCTGATGCCGTTCAGAGGTCTGCCTGAAGGACATCCGAGGATGGTGACCGACGCACGTACCTCCCAGGCCCCTCTTACCGCTGGCGTGCTTTTGGTTCCACTGGGGATTGACTAAACATTTAACTAAATGAAGGAGAAAATCCTTTGTTCACATGGGGCTTGTTTGAATCCCAAGGTACTTACTTCAATTTTTTTCGACAAGCTTCAACTCTATTTTTGGGGAATACGACAAAGGCTATGCATTGATCATCGCATCACTTTGGAATTGAACGTTGAGATTGATTTAAATAAACTGTTCAAGCAGCAAATTGTGAACAGTTCAATCGCGTTCTCAGCGTACGGTGGCTTGGGTCTAAATAAAGTTTAAACACGTTTTCTTGCTATAAAGCTGAATATAGGAGGATATAGGCGATGTCGTTGGACGCTCTACAATATATTTTTGGAACGCGTGACCAGAGCTGGACCGCGTTATCGGCGGCGTCAGTGTCGCCATCCTCGTGTCACTCTGTCGTGTCCTCCGTTCAACCTTCGGAAAGCTGGTTACAGGCTGGTTTACTGTGCGCATTCCCGATTTCATGCAGCTGTCTCCTTCACAGCATTTTTACGAGGAGTTCCATCGGTAAAAGCTTCTGTTCGAATTGTTCCAATTTGTCCTTCTTTCAAAATTCGCTTTGACTAAAGCTCGTCTAAGCAGCGTACGAGTGGATTAATGGAGCTATTGTTGAGTAATAGTAGCAATCATTAGTCACATGTTACTGTTTACGTTCTTGTGTGGTCTCACTACCGGGTTTCTTATGGTGAGTTACGCGTGAGTAGGGACGGGTCGGACTCCGGAGTGGCAACTACAAAAAAGTCTGATTCATATCGTGCTTCTTCCTTCATAGAACCGCTAATATTTCCGTCGGCTTCTTTGAAATACTCCTTGGATATTTCCAGCTATCTGTTACTTCTATAAAGTGCTCGTGGCATGGGGCCTAATTTCCTCAATCCATCTGAATCCACCAAGCCACAATGCGTCTTTCATCCATCTTCGTCGCTCTCCTTCCAGCAATTTCCGCTGTAGCGAGCCCTGCTAAAGGCAAAACCACGGCCAAACCAACTTCAACGGCTACCCCCATCTCTACTGCCGCTGGTTCGACGTCTACACCAGGCTCAACGGATGGAAGTCCAAGCGCACCTTACATATTCATCGATAATGGATACGATTACGCCCTGGGATTCCTCACTACCGTGTCTGTGAGCGGCGTCAACGTCCCTGCTCTTATCCCGGATTACACCCTGGCATCCAATTCATTCATGATCAGTTCGATTTTCATGGTCCAGCCGGCAAATTCCACTTCCTACGAGGCCGTCCAGCTCTTGACTAGCCAAGGACCGACAGGGCCTGCACCCAAGGGCTTGAACTTCGTCGCAGTTCAGGGAGCACAATCTGTAGGATCCCCAGGATTCTTTATTAGCCAAGCAAACGAAAATGTCTTCAATGCGAATACCAAGACTTTCCGTACCTTTGTCCACTGTCCGACCGTCACAGTGCCCGGCACGACCTTACCACAACTTTTCTGGGCTCCTGCTGGCGTGGCGGCTCCAAGCGGCTGTTTCGATAGCCAGTTTGCCGCTAATGTCAGATAGGTCCAGCGTGGATTTTGGAGATCATTCGGGTTATGTTACAATCAGGATCGACCGAACTGATGGATGGAGTTAGATTAGTTGGATTACGGACAAATTACGGATGAGCAATTATTGCATTCCAGGACCTGGGTACTACTGCCAAAAAACGGCAATAATCAGAACGCTATTATAACGAATCCTGTAAAGACTATAAGACTATAGGAACCTTGTATTTTATTTCTTCTTCATAGAAGATATCTATCTTTCCTGTTCGCCGTAAGAAAAAACGAGTCCACCAACTAAGATCATTCCTAGGCCTGTATTTTAGTCGCTGGTCAGGATATGGATAATATCCTTTTGGATGATATCAGACAACCTTTGGATAAGCCACCATGATATAATTTTCCTCAGTTTTTTGTCGTAAGCTTGCAGAACAAGATAATCAACTAATGTACTACGATAATCCTAAGTGTATACGCAAACGACAACCAACTTATAATTCCAAGACAGGAAAAGGGTAGATAGGTGGTATACCGAAGGAGATGAGACTCGAGAGTACTTCAAGCTAGACAAAGCTTAACTCCAAAGTCATGAGTAATCGTGCAACTTAAATTTTAGGATTCAAAGTATTTTTCATAATTGGGCCCACTACACAATGGTACGCAGCGTTTCACCTGTGACCTAAAATCCTTGGTATCAAAGTTAGGAAAATAACGGAGAATAAACGAATCTCCTATCTAATGATATCAATCGAAGACGAACGCAGAAGACGTGAACACTCACTCGCTAGAACATGACCACTTGAATTCTGAGTGTTTTTTCCGACTTCGTTGTCTTACGGAGAGCTCCTGGTCCAAAGGTGGTTCGACATCGTCTTTCACTTTAACTTGAGCCATAATTGGCTGCTCAATCCCTTCATCATCATGTGGAACATGGGCAAAGAAGAATCGAGGAAATATCCCATGTTGATCTGTAATATTTAGGCAACAATTGGTACAATCGATGGAATGGTGAGTGAATTAATTATAAGATACCATCAGACTCTGGGCTACTATTACTTGCACGGCCGGCGTCAGGTTTTATACCTTCTTTCGTTGTACAGAGGTTTCAGAGAGTTTGGCTGAAATTATATGACATTTATTCGCTGATAGGTTAAATATTATGTGATAACCTACAGGGTCCTGGTGTGATCTGCTGTTCAGCTTTCCATATAATTACTTGATCAGTATGTCAATCCTCAAACCCCGATGACAATGCATACCAGTAGAAAGTTTAATAGGGCTCGGGGAGTTTACTTCTCCCTCTACCTGTTTGATGGCGATTGGTAAAGCGCGGCATATGCCGACAGAGCCATAGAAAGATAAAGAACTGTGAAAAGATAATATGGTTCACATTAGGAAAACTGGCACGCGCATCTAAATGGTTTCCTAGCTCGTAGAATTGGGATGTAATGCTATCTAGACTATGAACCGCTAAGCTTCGCTAGCTACTCTCTGCACTGTGGAGTTATTGACAGATATTCGTCAAACCTACTAATTCACCGTATCGACTTATGTTTCCTACGTTTCCGTTATCTCAATTATTATTGAAGATAGCTGGCAGTACGAGATATCAAGAGGAATAGTTACTTACTAATATTCTGCCAGCGAGAAGTTCCAGTCCACGACGCCTTTATGTTTGAACAAGTCACGTGTAGTGTCTCCGTGACGTCGACTTCCTATCTCGAACCACCATGTTCTCCCTCGCAAAGCTTGGAGTACTCAAGTCTGCTACTCTCCAAGGTCCAAAGCTGCTGGTGATTCTGTCTTCCATCACTCAGATCCCGATAACTTGAAAATGGCCTCCACTGCAATTCATCTAGGGTCTCTTACAGTGCCTTGTCACTGTATCTTACTCAGTGCTGACAATATTTCAACTATATATTACTCATTTGAAACACAGGAATGAGAAGAAACACTGAGTGTGGGGCATTCTGCATAGCTCGTAAGGTGGACACGCCACTTGCAGGCCCTCATCCTACTCTTTAAAATATACATCTCTCCGTGTTTGTAATATATAACTATTAGGACTCCCTGGGGCTCTTGCCATGATGTTATTCGTTTATTCTCCACATCACTTGAATTAATAATGGAGTATACATGCTGCCACGCCAGTGCGATTCCTGGTTCATTGAAATCAGTTCATTTATGTTATTCAACGGGATGTGAAGACTTCTCGACTTCTGCAATAGCCTATGACACTCCAGAAGATATATATGCATATCTCTAGTTTTTTAAATAAATAATTCATCCATAATCCATAATAGGATGATGTAAATGTAGTATCAAGCTGTAATCTCCGTTTCTTTTTTTCTGAGAATCTGAGAAGCTTATCGGCCCGACAGATTAATATAGAAAGTTTTAAAGCATGTATCTATCTTCCCTTAAAATTTTAGAGAGTTGTACCGTGCGGTCACAAA